GTGTTTATACCATGTTTTCATCTACACTACTAGTAGAGTAACAATACTTTCACTTGAAAAGGAAAACAAACTGTTATAAATTATAACAGGAACTTTTCTAATTATAGCAATGTCTATCATGATATCCAAGTACTATGCACTGGCTACCTACCAATGCCATGCACAAAACAGAAATATTATCCAAAGTAGGTAGTAAGTGATGGTAGATAGCTACTTAGCATGTAAAAACTTACTAAAAAGTAGTCTGTCTCCTGTATACAAAGGAACACAGAACAAAAGAACTATACAACGTACCACAGAGCTATGAAATACTGAAAAAAAAAGGGTGCAAAAGAAATGTCCCAAGGTTTTTCTTTGTTTTTTTTTTTTAATATAAATTTGTTTTGTTTAGTGTTGTCAAAGCATGCTGTCCAGGCTTGGTTTCTGACTTTTTCTTTCCTTTGCTTGACTTTTTTTTGTCAAAATACAATTGCTGACTTTGTTGTGGTGCCTTGTTGTCATGATGAATGCAGGCTTTCTCACAATAAGAGATCAAGGAATGGGAGAAGTTCTATGTATGTGTGCTGTCTCTTATACACATCTAGATGTGTATAAGAGACAGCTCTCTCTGTGTGTGTGTGTGTGTGTGTGTGTGTGTGTGTGTGTGTGCTGTGTGTGTGTGCGTGTGTGTGTGTGTGTGTGTGTGTGTGTGTGTACAGGGTCGGAGCCAGAGCTGTTGAAATGGTTCGTTCAGTCGGAGATCGTCCACTGCCGATGGGCAATGCTCGGCGCTGCGGGCATTATGATCCCGGAGGCGCTGACCAAGGCGGGCATCCTGAACACCCCACACTGGAACGTGGCTGGTGACGCGCAGTACTTCGCAGACCCCACCACCCTCTTCGTTGTAGAGCTTCTTTTCTTGGGCTGGGCTGAGGGCCGGAGATGGGCTGATATCATCAAGCCTGGCTCTGTCAACACGGACCCCATCTTCAGCAACAACAAGCTCACCGGTACCGACGTCGGTTATCCTGGTGGCCTGTGGTTCGACCCTCTCAACTTCGGTAAGTAACCATCACACGTCTCACTGAGTCACTGACTCCCATTGCCCCTTCCCTATTTTAACTGCCCGCCACCTCTTAGTTTTCTTCTTCACGAGCCATCAAAATCTGATTCAATTCCTGCTGCAACCACGGTTGTAGGATGTATCTGACCGAAAATCAGGACCTTATCAGGTCATGTTGAGGCAAAAAAAAATCCCGGAGTCTGAAAGACTTAGAAATTAGAATCTATTTTCTCATTGTCTGTCTTCCACTGGCAGGCAACATTTGAGTCATTTTCGCCTCCCCATTCCCGCCCCCTCCCCTCGCCAAGGATTCCCCTTTTTTTTTTTTTTTTTTTTTTTTTTTTTTTTTTTTTTTTTTTTTTCCCAAAGTTTTTTTTTTTTTCCCTTTTTTTTGTTCCTGCTCTTTTTTTTTTTTTTTTTTTTTTTTTGTACTCCTCTTTCACGAGCAATGACGTATGCACACACATCCTCCCTCCCAGCCACCCACAAACAGACCCCCTCGTAGACACACACCCTCACACAATGTCACGCATAAACAACGGGGTTTTCTTTCTCGTTCTGCTTTAAATTTCTTTTTCTTTTCTCCTTTTTTTTTTTTTCCTCCTAAGCTTTAGTTTTCGTGTTTTCCTTCACTAGGTTTCCGACATCGCATGAATTTCAACAAAAATAAATAAAAAAATAAAAATTGCACGACTTGCACCTTCTCGCGACTGCTGGTGCCCCGTTACGCTGTTCGGAATTTTGGCGCCAAACTCGACATGCTGTTGTTCCTTTTCTTTTTCTTTGACAATTTTGGCGGCAAACTTGACAATGTCATGCTGTTTTTATTTTTCCCTTCTTTTTTTCTTTGACAATTTTGGCTGCAAACTCGACAGGCTCTTTCTCCTTTCTTTGTTCTTTGAGAATTATTATGGCGTCGAGCTTTGACAGTCTCCTTTTTTTTTCTTTTTTTAATTATTTAATTAAAATTAAAATTTTACAACCGTTTTCTTCTCCTCCCCCCCCCTTCTGTTTCCTTTGACAGGCTCTGGAGATCCCGCCAAGGTGAAGGTGTGGAGGACCAAGGAAATCAAGAACGGGCGGCTGGCTATGCTTGCGGTCCTTGGCTTCTGGTTCCAGTCGGTGTACACGGGACAGGGACCCATTGATAACTTGCTCGCTCACCTTGCTGACCCGGGACACAACACCGTCTTCTCGGTAAGAGAGGGGGAGAGGGGGGGGTGGCATGGTCACGGTGGCCACTGTTCTTTTTTTTTTTTTTTTTTTTATAATAGAAGTGCATCATTTCATTTCATGGTCACGGTGGCCACTGATCTTGTTGCTTTTGTCTTTCTTATTTCTCTTTTTTTCCTTCTTTTTTCCTGTTCTGTTTCTCTTTCGCTTTTTTTCCCTTCTTTTTCTTTATTTTTCTTTACTTTCGTAAGTTCGTCTTCTTTTTTGTGTTTGTAAGAAGTGACCTTTATTACGTCCCCCCCAGTGCCCAAGGCAGAAAAAAATACAGTAAAGTAATGAACGACACTTCCAGGGGCAAGAAGGCCTCCAGCCTTGCACCCAGGCAGAGCCCGTCCCCTTTTGAAAAACCGGGAATTCAAAAAAGAGTAGCAACGCAAACAACTGTATACAAACTCTACAACGAAACACACACTCACAAAAAAAAAAAAAAAAAAAAAAAAAAAAAAATCCCGTCTTTGCCGCGCGGCACCGCACCCATATAAGTTGATACAAACAAAAAAACAAAACACACCCCCAAAAAAAAAAAAAAAAAA